TCCCCGAGACGCCGCCGCCATGGCCGATGCGTGAGCCCCGCTCAGCACCGAGCGAGAAGCAGCCCGGTCCTGCCGTGGGAGACCCGCCGTTGGCCGCGTTTCTAAGCAGGAGACGAGCTCTGCGCCGGAGCGGCTGCATGTGACGGCAGGCTCCTGTTGTAACAGGGATCTGTGCCGAGGAAGGACGGGGTGAACCGGTTCACAAAGCTGTCTCGAGCCGGGTCTGCAGCGGGGGCTGCTCTGTAAGGGCTGCAGTGTCCGGAGAGACAGGACTCCCTCAGCATGGAAACCGCAGGAGCTTAATGCGGATTGGTAGCTACAGAAAGCTCCTCCACATTAATGTTCCCACCGTGCTTAAAAATGCATCACGCACACAACCTTTTCCAGGCATCAGCCGCCCCATGTGCTGCCTGAGCCTTGAAAGCCAAACACCCGTGAGGGCCTCAGCAGCTCCTCGAGCGACCGCTTTGGGTTCTCCTCCTGGCCAATGACTGGCCGCTCTGCAAAGACGTGACCTTCGTCATGCTCCATCCATGTGGCTCTCTGGGTAACTTGGGGTGGGATCCTGGCTCTTCCCTCATCTTATTTGGCTGACGGTTGCGCTGTTTGAGCCTATGGACTGGTGGCAGAGCTGGTCTCATTGGCAACCTGTTTCAAAGGGGGATAATCCAAGGGAAAAGGCAATGTGCTGGAACACGACACGCTTCCTTCACCGTTAGCATGTGCCGCTCCAAGCTCTTGTGCAGGCTGTGGGGACAAGCACGAAGTGCAAATCAGTGCCGCAGAACAGGCTGGCGATGCATCACTCCCGCCTGTCCCAACAGCCGACTGCGGCCGCACTATTTTATCCAGGATTAGGAAACTAACTTGCCAGGGGGCTGGCAGCTCCCCCGCCTGCTTGGGAAACATCTTTCTGAAAAGGCTGGTGTTGGCTGGATGAGCTGGAGCTGGGATCTGACCCAGCCAGTCCCATCCTATGTTCCTAAAAATCTAATTTCCAAAATGCATTTAGTAGCCCCACTTCCATAGCTTGCATGCGCTAGG